GCCTCTCATAATCTTATACACTTTAATCAGGTCCCACCCCTCCCAAACTTCGCTGCTCCAAGGAAAACAACTTGAGCTTATCCAGCCTTTCTTCATAGATAAGCTGCTTGATGCCAGGCAACATTCTGATGAATTTCCTTTGCACCCCTTCCAGTGCAATCGTATCATTCCCAAAGTGCAGTGATCAGAACTGCGGATAGTGCTCCACCTGTGGCCTAACCAGCTTCAAAATAACCTCCCTGCTCTTGACGGATTAAAGCAAGTCCCATGTCTCTTCTTAACTGCCCTATTAACCTGCCCTGCCACCTTCAAGGATTTTGTCTCTTCATCGAGAAGTCAGCCATCGAGAGCAAGTTTACTATTCAGGATAGCCATGGACAGAGTGAAGGGAAGGAAAAGACATCTGGTTTAAAGTGCATTTATTTCAATGCACAAGGTTTGACTGGTATGGCAGATGAACTCAATGTTCCAGGATACAGAAGCGACAGGTGTGACAGAAGTACAAGTAAGCGAGGAGGGGAAGTTGACATTTTGATAGCGGAGATATAGTAAAAGTGCTTAGAGAGGATATTCTTAAGGGATCATCAATTGAGGCCATATGGTTAGAACTTAGAAACAAGAAGGGGATGGTCACTCTGTTGGTATCGTATTATAGACCCCCAAATAGCCAGCGGGTATTAGAGGAGCAGATGTGTAGAGAGATTGCAAATACCTGGAGGAATAACAGAGTAATATTGGTTGGAGATTTTAATTTCCCCTGTATTGACTGGGCTACCCAGAGTGTAAAAGGCCCAGACTGGGTGGAATTTGTCAAATATGTCCAAGAAATTTTTCTAAATCAACATGTAGAGGGCCCTACTCGGGAGGGTGAAACACTGGACCTCCTCTTAGGAAACGAGGTTGGGCAAGTGACTGAAGTGTCAATCGGAGAGCACTTTGGGTCCAGTAACCATAACTCTCTTAGTTTTAACATAGTTATGGAAAAAGATAGGATAAGTCCACAGGTTAAGGTGCTAAACTGGAGCAGGGACAATTTTGGCGCCATTAGGCAGGATCTAGCAGAGGTCGAATGGGTGAGTCTGTTAGATGGAAAAGGAATGACTGGCAAATGGGAGGTTTTTAAAAGTATGATATGAAGAGTCCAGGGACAGTATGTCCCTGTTAGGGTGAAGGGAAAAGCTGGCAAGTTTGGGTAATGACTGGGATATTGAGGCTCTGGTCAGGAAAATGAAGAAGGCATACACTGGGTTTAAGCTATTGGGCTCAAGTGAATCCCTAGATGACTGTAAGAAGTGTAGGAGCACACTGAAGAGAGAAATCAGAAGAGCAAAAAGAGGGTATGAGATGGATCTGGCAGATAAGGTTACAGATAATCCAAACAGGTTCTATAGCTATATTAAGAGTAAAAGCATGGCTAGGGAGAATAGGTCCCCTTAAAGATCGGCATGGCCATCTATGTGTGGAGCTACGGGAGATGGGGGAGATTTTTTAATGAATATTTCTCCTTCATTTTTACTGAGGAAAGACTCATGGATGCTAAGGAAATAAGGGAAACAAGTGGAGATGCTTTGGATCGCATACATATTACCAGAGAGATGGTGTACGCAGCCTTAGATCGCATTAAGGTGGGTAAATCCCCTGGGCCTGATCAAATCCATCCTCGGACATTGTGGGAGACTAGGGAAGAAATTGCAGAGGTTCTTGCAGAAATTTTTGCTTCATCTTTAGCCTCTGGTGAAGTTCTGGAAAACTGGAGGATGGCTAATGTTGTTCTATTGTTTAAGGAAGACAAAGACAAGCAAGGGAACCACAGGCCAGTGAGCCTGACATCAGTGGTAGGCAAGTTATTGGAGAGGATACTGAGGGACAGAATCAATCAACATTTGTAGAATCAAGGTCTGATTAGAGATAGCCAGCATGGATTTGTGTGGGGGAAGTCATGTCTGACAAATCTTTTCAAGTTTTTGAAGAGGTAACCAAGAGGATAGATAAGGGTAGGGCAGTGGATGTTGTCTATATGGACTTTAGTAAGGCCTTTGACAAGGTCCTGCACAGCAGGCTAGTCATGAAGGTTAGGTCACATTGGATCCAGGGAGAGCTAGCTAATTAGATTAAAAACTGGCTCGACAGTCCTTTAGCACCTCCTGTGGTCAGACAGAAAATAAAAATTTGGCTCAGGACCCTTGTAATTTCCTCTCTCATCTCCTACATCAACCTGGGATAAATTCATCCAGACCTGGGATGTGCGCACTTTTAAGCCCAACAAAATCTTACTCCCTACATAAATCTGCTCAAGAACCTCACAGTCCACCTTCCTGAATTCTGTACCTACATCCTCCTTCTCTCAAGTGAAGACATGTGAAGTACTTGTTTAACACTCAAACAATGTCCTCCAGCTTTATGCAGATTTCCTCCTTGGTCCCTAATGAGCCCTACTCTTTCCATAGTTATTCTCTTCTCCTTGAACTACTTCTGGAATACATTGTGATTCTCCCTAAAATTACTCCCCAGTAGTTTTTCCTTATGTTCCCCTTTGTTTTCCTGATTGCTTTCTTAAGTACCCTCCCCTGCACTTTCTATACTCCACTGGGATGTCCATCGATTTGCTCCCTTTGTACCTGTTTTATACGTCACTGTTTCTTTTTAATCTAGTCCTCAATTTTCCAAAAAATCCAGGGTTCTCTGGGTTTGTTGCTCCTACATTTCACTCTAAAAAGAGAACATGTTGGCCCTGCAATATCAACAATTCCATTTTGAATAACTCCCACAATTCTTCACAACTTCCTCTTTTACACTCTCCCCTGTCCCGACTGAAGATCCTATGCTCCAGAATGTTGAGTTCCCAGTCCTGTCCTTCCCTCAACTACGTCTCTGTGATGGCAACAACATCACAATTTCACATTTCCATCCACACTCTTAACTCATCTGTCTTGCCTATAATACTACTAGCATTAAAGTAGAGGCCATCCAGCCATGCCTTACTCCCTTGAGAGTCAACATATCTGAATTCCCTCTGCCTAGGTTCATTTTCTGAGATATTTTGTGTCAATACTGAACTAATGCACCATGTCCCCTACCCCTGCTGAACGAGTTTAAACTCCTCCCAGCAGCACAGGCAAACCCTCCCACAAGGATGCTGGTCCCATTCTGGTTCAGCACAGACTGTCCCACTTGTAGAGGTCCCACCTTCCTCAGAATGGGTCCCAGTAGATCCATGAATCCAAAACCGTTCCTCCTGCACCAGCTTTGGAGCCACATAGTAAGCTGCCCTATTCTCCTATGTTTGTACTCGTTAGCACATGGCACCAGGAGTAATCCAAAGATTGTAACCTTTAGATCCTGTCTTTTAGTCGACTGCCTAGCTCCCTGAGTTTTTGATGCAAGGCCTCATCCCTCATTCTACCTTTTTCATTGGTAAGATAAAGTCACTGTCCTCCTACCAGATCACAGGCTGCTCTCTCAATAGGAGGGTGCTGGTATAATCTGAGGGTCACCATTCCTCAGGTGAGGGGGAAGAGGTTGAAAAGGAATTGAACCCATGCTGCTGACATCACTCTGCATCGCAAACCAGCCATCCAGCAAACAAAACTAAGTGAACCCCATGTATGAGTCAACGTCTGACTTATCACCTTCCCGTTGCCATGCAGTTGCTCAGAGACATTCCTGATACTGGCATCAATGAGGCAACACATCATCCAGAAGTCATAGGGTCTAGGCCCAAAACGGCAGCCTTTCTGCTCCTATGATGCTCCTTGGCCTGCTGTGTTCATCCAGCTCTGCACCTTGTTATCTTGGATTCTCCAGCATCTGCAGTTCCTACTATCTCTGATCCAGGAGTCATGCCTGTCTAACTAATTACACCCTTATCACTATCGCTCCAGTTTTCTTTGTCTTCCCCTCCTAATACAGTCAGGCCACTAGTGGTGCTGGAAGCTTGAATATGTCTGCAGTCCCTTGCAGAACCAATGCCCTCATCAGCTTTCAAAATGGAAAAATGATTGGCAAGCAAGACTCCAGGGTACTGTAGCACTACCTACTTGATGCTGTTTGACTGCATATTCCTTTCTTTCTTCCACTCCCTTGAGGTGTGGTGTGTCCTCCTCTGTAAACATTCTATCCACACAACACTCAGCCTTATGGATGTGTCAACATTGTCTCTCTCCAACTGCTGCTCGAACTCTAAAACCCAGACGCTCACATTTCTGTAACTGGCCACACTTCCTGCACACGTGGTCATCTAGGATAACAACAGATAACTTTTTCACACAGAGGGCGGTGCATATGTGGAATAGACTGCCAGAGGAAGTGGTAGATACAGGTATTGTTACGACAATTAAAAGACATTTGGACAGGTACACAAATAAGAAAGTTTAAGAGAAATATGGGCCAAATGCAGGCAACTGGGTCTAATTCAGTTTGACAGCCTGTTTGGCATGGACATATTGGTCCAAAGGGTCTATTTCCATACTGTATGACTCTATGACTTTATAATTCCCCTATATAACAGGTCACACAAACCACTTGGTTGCCCTCATCTGTCACGATTTAAATTTAAACTTAGTCTTGCTAGCTAAGTTTTCTAATTCCTTAATCTAAAAATATACACCCCTTACAATTAGAGCCATTTTCTCATTCTCTGACTATTACTTATCCCTGGTGCTTTTCAGTTAATCTTCAGCTAATCCCCTAGTAATTTTACAAAGGAAAGTAGGAAATAAAATCAAGGAACTGGCTTGTAAAAAGATAAACACGTAAATTCCATGGCTTTTACAACCCAAGCATTTGCAATCTATTCAAAATATGCAGATGTGGTTTGCTTAATATTTCTGGTGGCTGTGGTGGAGCAAACACAAGCTGAAGTGGTTGGTAGCTATACCCTCTATTTATTTATTCAGTCCAGATATTCAGTATACGTCAACCAAAGAAAGCAAAAACTTACTTCTGAGCCCCACTGCTCAAGAGGTACAATATTGAGCTGAAATAAAGAAAAAAGGTTTTACCGAAAGATTTTCATCCTTGAAAATTGATGGTGGAACTATCCTTCGGCCACCGCGCGGGAAGTAGACCTGGATCATCCTATCCTGCTCTTCCCACGTTGCCTTCCGCAACACTCCATTTGGTTCTCTAACCACAATAAATCGTTCCTTGGAAAAAGAAAAAGTGGAAAACTTATTTCGAAATAAGTAGACAATAAATAGGCACTGGAGCTGAGTGAGCCAGGATGTGCAATTTTAAATTAGACTCGACTTAAGTCACATATTCTGTTTTGCAAATTCCTTGTAAATTCCTCATGCCAGACACCATGACATCTAGATAAACAAATGTGAGATATATTTTGACACAGAGCAAAAATCATGCAGTTGTCAACATTCAAGGTTAGATTGGATAGGGAGATGAAGGAATATGAAAATATGCAATATAGATTTGAATAGAATTATTGCTGCCAAATGGCTTTGTGGCTTCTATGTACCAGACCTCACACAGGTCCTGCTTTTTTAATTTAGCCAAATCAGATGACAATTGGAGGTGTTGTGGCAAAAAGGGTACCTTTCTCTTCTTACTCTCATCTTGTCAATTCATTTAGGCATTCTGGACAATTGTCACGGAAAACACAAGGACCACTGTCAATCCTGCAAATCCAAGAGGACTTGGTTCAGTGCCTGTCCACCTGATAGCGGACTAATAGAACTCTTGCTAGTAGCTACCAGTCTTGGGCCTGTACCTGGAGATTCAATCAGCACAAACAATACAGCAACTGACTACAACCATGACCAATAAACCTGAGAGATTTTCTGGATTAACCTCCAGACGCAAAAGCCTAAGAAGATACCTCATTCTCCTGATCTACAAAGCTTCCATGGCAAGCACAGCCATGCCAAGACAACCAGACGTTGCACTGCACATTGCTTTAAGTGGAATGCAACATGCTAAATAGGATTTTATGTATTCAAACAGTAGTTTAATAATAATTTATGCTTAAAACTAGTGGTAACTAGCACACAGGCACTACACTTAGAACAGCTGTTATTTGTAAATTTTCGTTTCTAAAAGTATCATTGTCCCAGTTTTGTCATTTGTATTCTTATTTACAAAATCCTGTTGCTCAAACTTACTAAATTTGAAGAGAAGATAATTCAGGTTTATACAAGGTAGACAACGAAAAACTATTCTCAGAAGAATACATTTACATTTCTGGGCAAGAGATGCATGGAGATGTGAGGAGGAACTGATTCATGCAGCAAGTGGTAATGATCCTGTTGCCTAGGAGGCTGCTAGAAATAAAGACAATCAATAATTTCAAGAGGGAACTGACTGGCCACTAGAGGGAAATGAACTTGCAGGGATGGAGCTACAGATCGCTGGTATGGGGTAAGTGGGCTAAATAACCTTCTTTTCTGCCATAATGACTCCATGTTTGAAAGGAGATAGCAGATACATTATCAGGCAAAACAATGTTTAGGTGTTAAGCCTATTCAGGTCCTTATTCAGACCCCAGAAACCACTTACTTTGTGTGGAATATCAAAGGTTATATCTGTGAATACATATTTAGCCATTTCCAGGCCGTCAAGAATCTTATCTTCTGCTAACACATCATGAATTGGCTCTCTTTCATTTAGTACTGGTGGCATTTTCAGTCGGGTTTGAGCCACTTCCACAGCTTTCCGATGAGCCTGTAAAAACATATCACATTTACTTCAATCACATTTCCCAGCTACAAGTCTTTAGCTACTCTGGTGTAAATCCATGCCATAATGCGAAACTGTGACTTGCAAATTATTTTGTCCATAAGATGCTTGACAGGAGTGAAAAGCCACCACCTGACTGAAATTTCTCCAAATCAAGCTACTGAGAAATCGAGTCAGTCAATCGGGCAGTCAGAAAAAAAAAAGTTTCCATGTGCCTGATTGTGAAATGCATGCCACCTCTCACAAGATATTTACTCAGTCCTCAGAGCTGAGGTACAGCTTGAAGTCAAACAAGGCTCAGAGACCCCAACTGTGAGCAGCGGTACTACAGAATAGATGTATATGAATTACGAACAGTAGGTCATTTGGCCCTTTCAATCCTGCTCCATCCTTGGTGGCCTGAACCCCACGTTCCTGTCTGTCCCCTACATTAACCAGATAAAAACACAATTTACCATCACTAAGCATTGGTAACCTTCCCAATAATGGTCCAGCCAGTTCACCACAATCATTTACATTCTGCTGCAGTAGGCAAAGAACTTCAGCCTGCAGCTTTAGGTCTACCACGTGTGATTGCTAATCAATCTCAAATGTGAAATGCAGTACTGCTGCCCCACAAAGTTCTGATACTGGATCGCAAAGTCTGACAAGTATTAAAGAAAGCAAAAAAGCAATAGATTAAACCAACAATAATAAACTGCGCAACAAATATCAATTTCAGATTCAAAAACAAAGTTGCTGGAAAAGCTCAGCAGGTCTGGCAGCATCTGTGGAGGAGCAAACAGAGTTAACGTTTCGGGTCCGGTGACCCTTCCTCAGAACGAATTTCAGATTTTTGTTCAATCAACCAAAATACAAATCATTTCTACTGTATAACTTGCAGAAAAAAATTCCAGTATGTTCAAAACAACTGGGTAATAACTATCCAAATGGCAAGGAAGGGGATTAACATAGTTTCTCTTCCTTTGGTAGTTTATTGAAAATGAATGGAAGAACGCAATTAGTAGTAAATGTACCTCCTCAAGCTGTTCATTTGTCATGAATTTGTACGTAGGTGGTCTCAGTTGCTGCTGAACAGGTTTGAAGACCTTCTCGAGATCAAGGCCTGTTATTCTGGTAAGGATGCACTGGACATCATCATCCATAAACTGGGGTTTTCTGATTTCAGCTGCTGTCAAACAATAGTAGGAGGAGACAATGGATTTTGTTTTTGTATTTCCACATAAATTTAATACCAGAGTAAGATTTACTTGCACACAATTCAGTATCAGACTCCAACAGAACATTGCAAATACCCTTTAAATTCCTCATGCCAGACACCATGATGTCTAGATAAACAAATACATGACCCAAACAAACTATTAATGTGCAATGTGCCCCCATTAATGTACAGTTTGTACAATACATGATCAAAGGATAGAGTTTCTTGGCAATTTAGGTACATGCTAATCTGGATTCAGGTACTACACACAATGTTATACAGATTGCCGAACGAAAATATCAACATGAATGCTGCCAGATATTATAAAAAACCCAAATGGTTTTTGAACATCCATCAGGAAAGAGAACCTGCCACCACTACTCAACTGCACCAACATGGACTCCAGTTTCTTGCTACATGGTTAATGCCTAGCAAAGTGTAACACAGCTTTCTGTTGTTTAAAAGAAAAGCCACTTGCAGTTTGAGAAGCCAGTCATCATACAGAGTTTGATGGGGTTAGAGGCCAATAGATGTAGCTTGTTAATGACCACCAATTTTATAAATTCACACAATAGAGGCACCTTTATGATATTTAAAAATACAGTAACAGAATAAATTTTAAAAAATACAGTAAAATTCATTCCAAAGAAACATTACTTTGTACAATGCTGGAGTTTTACTGGATCTTGTACAATCTCAGGCAGCCCTGTGGGTATGTCTCAAAACACTTGTATTTAGTGTTCTCGACAGTCAGAGTCTAATAATAAGATCTCAATATTTTTACTTTTCAGGTCAATGTACATAAAAAATATTTGCATCAGTGGGGGTCTAGAATTGTAATGGAAGCTTCAATGACAGCAATGTTTTAAGTATCCCCTTCCTTCAGATTCTAACATTTTTATTTTCCAAAAAACAAGTACATAAAAACGTATGACTGCCACCTGCCAAATCCCTGCCTATCCTTACCCAAATTCCACATGTGAATCCCTCCAGTAGGATTTCTGCCCCTGCCACTGAAATGGCTTTTATTAAAATATATCGGAAACTTGAGACCTCTCTTTTCACCTTTACAAAGCTCTTAAACCTTCCTCCATGAAGTAGTTTTTGATCACCTGCTCTAACAGCTTCTTATGTGAATAGGTGTCAAGTTTAGTTTAATAATGTTCCTAAGAAGACCCTTGTAAGCTCTTACAAGGTGTTATATAACCACTCGTTACTATGAATCCACTGTTGTCATCGATGATTGCAACTATGATTCAAGATACTGATGCCACCTTGGACGAAAAAAGGAGTCCATGAACAGAGTGACCTGCATTTATATAGTGTTTTTCATGACCAACTGACTTCTCAAAGTGCTTTACAGCCAAAAGGGACTTTGTGAAATGTGGTTACTGTTCTGATGGAGGAATTGTGAATAGTAAACGCCCAGAAACATCAATGTGATAATGACCAGATAATCAGTTCTTGCGATATTTATTGAAGATAAATATTGACCAGGCAAACTCCCCTGCTCTTCTTTGAAATCCACTTCTGTAAGCAGACGGATCCTTAGTTTAAGATCTTCCCCATCCAAAAGAAAGGACATCTGATACTGCAGTGGTCCTTCAATAACATACTGAAGGAGAGTCAACTTTGACTTTTATACTCAGGTCCTGAGTGGGACTTTAAATTTTCACTGCTGACCAGCCATTCTGTTCAATGATAGTACTTTGTGATAAAAAAGTTTACAATTTTCTTGCAACCTGGATCTCCAAGGAGGACACAAGTAACATTGTAGAAATCTCCATGTCCCTTTCCAAGATACTACATTATGATTTGACCATACGTTATTGTCCTCTGTCACTACTACATGAAAACTCTAGAATTCCATACTAAATTCCATCCGGAGTTCATAATCACGTGAAGACGAGTAAACACTGGTGGAAGAACCATCAGCAGCTCAAGAAGATCCAAAAAATACTTTCTCACAGCAATTCAGTGTGGGCAATAAATCTAGTCCTGTCATTGTCATAAAAATGCTGTGGCCAAATCAAGAAACAAAGTCTGCAATAATAGGTGTGCTGAGTGAATTCAGCAGGCACCTAATTCAATTCCACCACGGCAGCTTTGAGATGCAAAGATAACGTTAGTAGTTCATCTGACCAGATGTGCTCTATGCTGGGTTCCCACTCATAACACATTTGCATGCAATGAATAATCATCAGTTTAAAACTTTTTTGAATCTTCAATATTAAGTCAAAGGTGCACAAGGATCTCACAGCACTCAGTTCACACTTGTTTAAAGGTGGTGAGCAACAGTCAGATTTGTGCAAGTGCCTGCAAGGTCAGTGGTTTTCTTTTCCTTAAATCTATGGGAAGTGTGGAGAGCAAGAGAACTGCAACTTGCAGGGAGCCTTGGGACCGGCATGAGTGTGTCAGCATCAAGGGAGGGGTGTGGTCAGGGAAATGGAAGAAGCATCCAAGGTTGGATAGGGGGGGAAGGGAGCATGAAGGAGTAAAAGAGCAAAGGGCCTTGGCTGTGGTATAGGTGGTGGGAACAGCCAAGTGAACCGTGAACAGTAGGAAAATTAGGGGCTGGAAGATGCTATTGCTGTTGTCTGTCTGTGGGTCAGCCTCAGGCTGTTAGCGTGCAGAATCTTTACAGGGCTTTTGGAGTTCACCCACAACATTTCAAGTGGTCCTATCGAGTGCAATTTTGGACAATATCCGATACAGAGAAAAGGAATGACTAACTGAGTTGCAGGTTCAATCATGTCCCAAGAAAGGCAAGTACAACACTCGACATAAAGTTAACATTCAAGAAAGGACGAATGCAAAAATATAACACTGTTTATTCCACAATAAAGAGAAAGCCCCTAACTCCCCTGTAAACATCAGTGTGTACCAACGATGAGGTGTGACAGTACATTTTGCTCATAGGCTAAAATAGTCTCAATAAATGATGGTAATTCACATATAAATAAAGTTACACCACTATAATGTGAAATATTTGCAAGTGAAGCTCATTTTGAAAAATGGAACCATCTTTGCATCCTCAATAAGTTTTCTGTTAATGGCAATGGAGTTGGGCAGGGAAGTTATGGCCATGATACAGAGCCTCTCAGTTTGACCAGGAGGCTCTTCAATAGCTCACCCATACCTGCTGCATTGTTAGCTGGCAGCAGGTATCACTCCTAAAAATCTCAACCCTGCCTTGGAATGGCACGTGCACGTCATGGCATTTCAATTTTGATTATAATTGTGACAGAACAACAAAAGGTGAGGAGGGGGAAATGGTGTTCACTTCCTGTTCTGCCATCAGGAGTAGCCCACCACCATTAAAACTCAGCGATGTCACAAAGGGCTCATTCTGGGCTGTAAATCCTAAACCATGGAGTCGTACCCACATTTCAGCATTGTGAACTACAACTCCAATCGGATATCATGGTTTGTATATCTTGGCGGGACAAACCATAGACACAGTGACACTTACAAGCAACGTTTGGACCCCAGTTTATTTACTTGTCTGATAACAAATATTATCTCCCAATCCCCATTTACGGATGAAATGTTTTAAAGCTTTTCTGAAATTTAGCCAGTTTTTATCAAAAACTTGATCAGTTATAACAATGGCATTCAGACACATTTTGGAATCAGAATCCATTGCTGCTCCCTGATTTATACTAACTAATAAGCAATTATTAATGACCTACAGCTTTCTAAAGCATAAAGGGTGGGGCTAAATACCAAGAAATCATGAATAATAGCTCTAGATACATCAATCTGCAGTGATCTTAGTTATACTCAAATCAGACGCCAATACTACAAAGTTAAAAGACATGCCACTACAACATATTTCTTCACTTACTGCGTTCTTTAAACAAAGTATACTACTTTGTTTGAAAGCACGAATTGGCTTGTGTTTAAAACTTCATGTGTAATCTTTATAATGATAGGACATGATGGGTACTCCACTTTCCTCAAGTTAAAAATGACTTATGAGTTGAGAAGGTCACAGTACCTCTGGGTCAGATTATGGTCAGTTTGCAATAGAACAAGTGTCTTCTGGCAATATCACTGCAACTCAATAATTGCAGCCTAAAATAATCATAAACCATTTTTATTTATTGGTGCCTTTAACAAATCAAAAATGCCTCAAGATGCCCCATAAATATTCTTAAGGAAACGGACACCAATGCAAGAATGAAGAATAGAGAGATAACATACAGCTTTGTCAACGAAATGGGTTATGAAGCAACTTCTAAACGTGGCAAGTGATGGAGGTGCAGAAAGATTTCAGTAGAGCCACAGAATACAAGGTTCTGCCACCAACTGAGGGTGAAATGAAGAGAAAGTAAGAGTGTATGGGTTAGAGGAACAGAGTGCTAGGGGATGACAGAGGGACAGGGCTAAAAGAGTAAAAAGAGGAAGATGTCTCCCTCTGATGAGATATGTGCTGTGAATGTTTTAGTCATTCACTCTAAAACAAATCCCTTTTAAAAAGTTACAAATTCTATTCACAGGCCTCTTTACTGAAGTAACAAACTGAAGAAGAAGGTTCTTGCTTTTTCAGTTGTGTGCCATATTCTAGAGGCAAGGGTGATACCAACTGGGCCACACTGACATTGAACTGCAGAGAAACCATCAGCAGCCTTTTTAAGTGATGAATGAAGGAATTTTTTTTTATTTGAAAAATATACTTTATTGCTAAAATATCTTTATATACATCCATAGTCACTGAAGCAGTTTGGTTCTGCACAGTAGCATATAAAGAAACAAACAAACATTGGCACTTGACTCTATCCAGCAAACAAACCAAAGGCATTTCTTACTTGTACTAAACAATATTTACATGTATGCAAGGCTCTGGAAAGGTCCGATAGCTGAATGGATCCCCATTTATCTTCAACAGAAAGATCTCAGGCAGTGGTACTTCCCCACTGCACCTTGGCAACAGCTACTCCAAGCTTTAGGGCATCCCTCAGCACATAGTCCTGGACCTTGGAATACGCCAGTCTGCAACACTCAGTCACAGTCAGTTCTTTACACCGGAAGGCTGACAAGTTTCGGGGAGACTAAAGAGCATCTTTCACCGAATTAATGATCCTCCAGGTGCAGCTATGTTTGTCTTGGTGTTTCCCGGTGAACAGCGCTTAGAGCAGAGTCCTGCAACATGGAGCCACTTGGGACAAACCTCAACATAAACCGCTGCAGCTCTCTCCAGACTTCATTTGCAAAGGCACATTCCAGAAGGAAATGTGTGGCAGTCTCTATCCTCCCACAGCTGCTTCGAGGGCAGCATGCAATGGCACAGAGAGTCTAGGTGTACATGAAGGATCTAATGTGTCTTCTCACCACCAGCCAAGCAATGTCTTGGTGCTTGTTGGAAAGTTCTGGCGATGAGGCATTCTACCAAATGACTTTGACTGTCTGTTCAAGGAGCCATTCAACAGGATCCACCCTCTCCTTTTCCTGCAGCATCTCGGGGACGCTACGTGCTGACCACTTCCTGATGGAATTGTGGTCAAAGTTGTTTCTGTTTGCAAATTTCTCCATGAAGGACAGGTGATACGGAACAGTCCCAACTACTTACAGTGTTCTGTGGCAAAAAGGCTAGTCACATCCCTCATAACACTGGGAGACAGGAAGAAACTCAGTACGTAGTGACATTTGGTGTTTGTGTACTGAGGGTCTATGCACAGCTTGATGCAGCTGCACACAAGGGTGGTCATCAGGACGAGGGCAGCATTGGGTATGTTCTTCCCCACTGTATCCAGAATTTTGTTCATGGTGTCCCTGCGGACACACTCCATCATACACCTCCAGGTGAAGTAGATGGTGGCTGGGGGGACTGCAACAGCGCAGGTTCTGGGAATGGGCCAGACCTACGCCACTTACCATAACAGAGTGCCTCACACCTGACAACCAGGTTTTTACCTGCAACGGACAGGGAGCGGTGGTTCCAAAGCCCAGTTTCAGCCTCACCTTAGCAATAGGCTCCTCCCAAGATTTTGTACACGCCCCAGCCCCTCTGAACCATATTCACAGTACCTTCAGGTAATCTGTCCTGACGGTGAAGAGGATAAAGGATCGGCCAGCCCAGTTCCCAAAGAACATGGCCTCATTCTTGCCTCGATTTACCATGACTCCTGAGGCCAGTTCCAAATGATCACAGGTGTCCACGAGTCTGAGCGCTGACAGCAAATCCGAGCAGAAAACGGTGATGTCATCCATGTACAGGGAGACTTTGACCTGCAGGCATCCACTACCCGGAATAGTGTCACGTCTCAAGCTCGCACCCTTCCTGATGGACTAGGCAAAAGGCTCTATACAACACACAAACAAGGCAGGAGAGAGTGGGCAGCCCTGCCTGACTCTGGATCTCATTGGGAAGATTTCTGATTTCCACCTGTTAATTGAGACTGCACTAACGATGTTGGTGCAGAGCAGTCAGATCTAATTGCGGATTCCCTCCCCAAAGCCCATTTTGGAGAGGATGTCCCACATGTACGTGTGCAAAATCCCAGAAAAGGCCTTCTCCTGGTCCAGGCTGATGAGGCACTGTCCTGCACATAGGTGAGCGTATCCCTGAGGAGTGCAAGGCTCTGAGAGATTGTCCTGCCTGGTACAGTACAGGTTTGGTTAGGGTGAATCACCGATACCAGAGCAAGCCGGACCCAGTTGGCAAGGATCTTAGACAGGATTTTGTGATCTGCATTCAGCCGTGAAATTGCTCGCCAATTTCTATTTCCCTCTCCCGCTTCCGCTTGTATGTGAGGGTGGTGATACATTTCCTCCTGGATTTGCACATGCTACCTGCTAGAAGCATACTGCCTTACACCTCCAGCAGGTCCTGGCCAATCAAGTCCCACAGAGCTGAATACAACTTGACTGGTAAGCTGTTGCTTCCAGAGGTTTTATTCTTTTCCAAGGACTCGAGGGCCTTGGTCAATTCATCCAGAGATAATGGCTGGTCCAGCCTTTGCCGTGAGCTGTTGTCTAAGACCTCCGTGATAGAGGACAGGAGTGACTGGGAGACCGTGCTGTCTGTGGGCTTCTTGTCATACAGACTGGCATAAAAGGATTTGCTGACCCTCAGGATGTCAGGCTGAGACGACGTTACTGAGTCATCTTCTTCCTTCAGGCTGCTGAGCACAGAGCTCTCCTTGTGCAGCTTCTGGAAGAAACACAAGGATGTCTCATCCTGTTCCACGGTGCGGACCCTGGACTGGAAGATCATCTTGGAGGCCTCTGAGGCAAAGAGTGAGGCTTGCGGGCTCTTCACCTCCTGGAGATCCTCCGTGACATCTCAACCACCCCCCCACCCCATAATCTGCAGGAGTAGGTTCTGCATGCTTTTCTGGAGTTTGAGCAGTTTTCCCTATCTCTCGCTCGACTTTTGAACATCTTTGAGGGTAAAGAACCTCTTCATGTTTCCCTTGGCTGTTTCCCATCCGTCTACTGAAGAGTCAACATGAGACTTCACATTCTCAAAACTGTGCAATCCCTTTTAAGCTACTCAGTGTTTTCTGGGGTCAACAGTTTCATGCTCAACTTCCATGTTCCCTTGCCAGCCCACTGGTCATCCTGTAGGTATCAGTTGGCCAGCAAGAGGCAGTGGTTACAGAACACCAGTTGAGGATCTGACCAAGAACGTGCAGGACACACAGAGTCATACAGCACGGTAACAAACCTATCCACCAGTCTATGCCAACCACAATCCCAAACTAAACTACTCTCACCTGCCAGCACCTAGCCCATGTCCCTCCAAACATTTCTTATTCATGTACTTATCCAAATGTCTTTTAAACGTTGTAACTGTACCCACATTCACCACTTCCTCTGGAAGTTCATTCCACACTCCAACCATTCTCTGTGTAAAAGAATTGCCCATCGTGTCTTTTTTAAATGTTTCTCCTCTCACCTTAAATATATATCCCCTAGACACAAACAGGAAATCTATCCCTGAGCAGATAGACCCGTCAGGTGGCATTATGTTGATAGCCTGCCCCTCCAATTCGTTTACTATTTGAAAGGCAAGCTGTGGGATTCTGGATGTGTGCATTGCCATTCACCGTCAGCGAGATCCCCCGGTGATACGAGTCATTCTCAATGCTGATGAAACATTTATTGGGGTTTCCGCGATGGGACTGAGACTGAGACTTCAGGCAGGGTAATGTGGGCCATTGCCGCATTATAAAGGGAGGCTTGCAATGCACAACAAGCGGTCACTCACCTGGATGCCCGGGACTCTGGGAACAGAGGGCACGCCGTCCGTGCCCACCTCCACCTGCAACCACACAGGGGAGCTCAGCATTTCCAGCAAGCCGAGAACTCTGAAAGGCACACCGTGCAATCCTGAACGCAGCCATCTTCACTTCTGCAAAAGGCAGAGGTGACCTTCCGCTAGGAGGAGCGCCCTAACACGGCACTCTGGGAGATGGAGTTTATCTTTCGCAGAGTTTGTGCACAAACAGATTTGCAGTGAGTGCAATTCAACTTGATACTCGTGGCCGCAGAAGACCCCGTTTGAAGTGATAGCCGCAGTGTTTTATAATTTACAGTTTCATATTTGTTTGGAATTTCAATCAGTAAAAGAGCAACTATTAATTTTAACTGCAGAAAATATATTCTATTAATCTGTAGTGACTGTTCCTGTAAAACGATTCCTGAGCATAAAAGAAATCGCAAACCTAAAAGTAGGAAACGTGGGAATTGGATAAGAGTGTGCTTTTTAAACGGACCGCAGAATTTGGAAATACAACAATGTGAATTTCAATAGCACTTTTTAATATAATGCCCCGGGTGCTTCGCATTACAATATGATCGCCAAAAGAAATGGGTTTTATAAGGGACAAAATAGAAATCGTCAGAGAAACTGAGCAGATTCCACAGCATCTGTGCGGAAAAAGCAGAGTTAACGTGTTGAGCCCAGTCACCGTTCTTTCAGGACTGATGGTAGCTAGGGAAAAGGTGGTATAAAAGGTGTTAATACCACCTTTTCCTCATTACTATCAGAAAGGGACTCGAAACGTTAACTCTGCTTTCTCTCCGTGGATGCTTCCAGACAAGCTGAGTTTCTCCAGCAATTGTTTTTGTTTCAGATCTTCAGCATCTGCAGTTCTTTGTTTTATTTTAGGTTTAATAAGACTGAGGAAGGTGTGGTGGAGACGTGTAGGGGGAGTTTTCAGGGCCCAAAGCCAGTGAAGCTACTGGCCACAATTAAAACTGGTAGGCGCTCAAGAGACCAGAATTACAGAAGCCTTGCTAACTCAGAGGGTGATGCTGGAGGAATTTATAGAGATAGGGAGGGGTAAGACCACTGAAAGATTTAGAAATGAGAATGGGGGATTTTGAAATCAAAACATTACTTAACCAACAATATCAGCACGAGCATGGAGTGAGAGGCAAACAAGACAAGATTTGGTACATGTGGGACACGAACAGTGGAGAAGGCGGAATATGGAAGCCTGGCCAGGAGTACATTTGAATAGTCAACTATTAAAATTAAGGGGGAAAAAAAAGAGGATTTTAGCAGCAAATGAACTGAGGTAGGGCCAAAATTAGGTAATATCGTGAAAGTGGAAGTAGGTGGTCTTAGAGATGATAGTTATGTTCTATATTAACGGTCAGAAGGTTGTTTCTGAGCCATTTAGAACACCAAGGTATCAAACTGTCTGGTTAGACGCCCAACAGTTGCCCGGGAGAGGGACGAATCTGGTGACTAGGGAGTGAAGGCAATTGCTTAGGTTGTCTCAAAATGAAATTAGAGAAAGTTTCTGTCATCCAGTTTGGATATCAAATACGCAGTTTGTCTGTGAGACAATACAGGCACCGAGAGAGATAGTTGTGAGATAGAGTGGGGTGCATTTGGAAACTGGTGTACTTTCGGGTAATGTCATGGAGGGACAGCATGTCGATGGGAAAAAGAACATGGAACAGCAGAGTTCATGCTGCAGGAATGGCGAGAAGACCATTGTAGGTTATTCTCTGGCTACAATTAAATAAATAAAAACGCAAACAAGTGCAGGCTTACCCAGTTGGATAAAGGTGAAGTGGTGTGATTAACAGTGTCAAAGTTTGTGGCCAGATCAAGAAAGAATTAGCAGTGAAGTTTTACCTTTGTAATAGTCACATAGAAATGGACTTTATGGGCCCTCATCAACACCCCAGCTCCAAGAGTCCATTAGGAGTCCTCTCATGACCCTGATGGTCACTGTGAGGCAGTTTTACTCTGGGGACAATGATAATTGCTTTTAGCAAAATTTCCACCCATTTCATGGCGGAAAATCCCACTTTGCTGAGCCACTGGCCATCTGATGGCCCTCAGCTCTGTAGCTGTAACAGCTCCAGTTACCTGTGTGATCACGGCTGGGGCCATAATCAGTGTCACAACAAGCGATGGAAGCCGAAAGTGTTTTTCATACATGGTGGATGCCCTTGTTCTTAGAAAATAGACACTACAGCAGATACACTACAGACATTTCTCAACAGATCATACCAGGAGTGGGCAGTTACTCCTGTTGATTGGATTGCCTGTAATAGTGGAAGACATTGCAATTATTTGTAATCAAACCTGGTAATAGGTGCTTTGTTTGACATATAGTACTTTGTTTCTGGATCTGAGTTTAACAGCACCATTTCAAGTTTATTCATGGGTGTACATTAGTCCACCTTGGAGCGACATTGATCTTAAACACAGCTTAATATTGTGCTTGAGGTTGTCAGCAAGTGGTCACCTGTGGGACAGGAGGGGGGAGGGGTGCAAAGGTGGGAGTGCTGCCAAACACTTTCCCTGTAAAACTTCAGCAGGTTAAAAGCTGGTTGGGTAAATGGCAGGCAAGTCATTGGCTGCTTTTCATGCATCTTCAACAGCAGCAACCCCCCCACCCCCACCCCAATGAATGTGTCTATATGCACGGATGCAAACACGCAAGCACACACACAAATCTCAGCTCCTACAATGTCATTTGTGCTTTCAGTTAGAGCAATTTGTCCTGTGGAAGCAACAGAAACCTGATTGGAGAGATTAAGACATGAAGTTCTGGGAAAGGTAGACACATGTTTGGTAGCAGCCAACATACTCGGACTTTGGAGAGGAAAGTAGTTTGCGAGGATGGAGGCCTCCGAGTTTTTTCTTTTTGCCAAGGGGTTAATGTCTTCATATTTAAAGAAGAGGAAATCAGTTGCCAAGGAGTGAAGACCTTGTACAATATCACTGAACATGGGTACCATGACAGAAAGTCAGGTAGACAGTAGTTGAGTAAAAGTAGGGTTAAGAGAACAGGAGGTGGATGTAGACGAGGTGAATTTGGAGATGATATGATGGGGCATAATGAAGGAAACTAAAGAACGATGTGAGTACAGGCTCAGTGTGGGGTCAGAAGGGGATGAGGGGGTGGGGGGGAAGAAAGGTCTTTAAGAACTGTTGGCCCAGTGGGCTTAGAAGCAGGGAGGCAAGTGGGAGAGCCATCTAATCAGATGGTCTCAGTCTGAGTAGCAATGAAGTCCATGGGTTCCTCACAAGAAGATGTAGCAAGTGATTTAAGAAGTCAATTTGTGGGAGTCAGGCAGGGAAGAATATTTTGCATTCCAGGATTCTGGACTAATGAGTAGACTTGGCAGCAGGACCTCATAGTGCTTTAGTGGCAGCCGGATCTGCTGTATTGCCCCATATGGCCCTAAATGTATTTATCCAACTGGTGCAATCCTTCTGTATTATTTTTGAGAATGAAATGGAAAGATGTGTGTTTTTCAGGCTCTTAACACATGCAGAGGTTCAAATAAAATAAATCACTCAAGCTTTGTTGTTGTGATTTAAGGCATTGTCTAAATCTTTTGATGTCATGTAACATATTTCAGATGTCTGTTAAGCTAACTGTGACCTGTAGCAGCAAGGCTTGGAGTCCTGATAATCCTGTTGATAGGTCTTTGCCAGTAAGTTACCTTGCCCTTTGAAAAGCTGGTATGGTTATTAGGAGGTTTGATTGTGTTGTAAATTATTCGGGCTGAGAGACTAGCTATGGCTGCAATCATGTCAACAAAAGTTAAGTTTTACCTATTTTTTGGTTGGCTGCCCTGTGTTACTTGTCTAATTTTTAGCCCCACAATGGGTATTGGATAGTTGGATTTTACAATTACAATGTGAAATAGCTTGTGAAATGGTGGTGATATATTAATTGGATCTGTTTTGAGCTGGTCAAAATAGTGTTACTGGTGGATTTCACATTAGACAAAACTAGAATAGAGCTTAATGGAGCAACTTTATCCAGGAGAAGAATGATGACTGGTAACTGCCATTGTTTTGAGTTGTATGTGCCAAGATCAGACTTTGTAATCTTCTCAAGTTGATTCTCGCTGCAAGGAGCTTCTTGAGGACTTTAGCCAATCAGCATAAAACTTAGTGGAACCATTAGAAATTTGTTTTGGTCATCAGACACTGGGAATGCTGTCTATATTGGTATTGCAATAGTTACAAAGGAGAACAAGCCCAATGCCTTCTTGGGTCGCCAGGCAATGGGTAATGCAGTCTTGCTGGTGTTTCTTGTGTCTTTCAAATATTTATTTTAAATGAAACTTGTAAAAATATTTTGTCGATCAATGCTTTCTGTTTCGTTGATTGCAATTTCTTAATATTCTATGGAATGAAGAAATTCAAAAGGTCAGTAATGAATTACCTATGGGAGAAAAAAAATGATGTGGTCAACCAGACTCTAGAGGGTATATTTCAAAAAAAAGGAGCATTTATGTATTTTTCACCCAATCCCAATTTGCTTCTAGCTCTTCATAACACCATGTGTCATTTCCTGACCAAAAAATGAAGAAAATTATCTATTACCAGATTTCCACACTTCCTAATTTTTAACATGCCAAGTACAGTCATTTGAAGATAATTTACACCCAAATTAGCCTCAATCATTTCTTCCCATGTGTGTTGCCTCACATTTGCTTGACACTTTTTGACAGCTTTATCAAGTTTTGGTGTTCTTGCTCTGAGAACACAAGAGCACACATAAGCATCCTAATGTTTTGTAGAATGGTGTATTAATGGAGCAAATTGCTGTGTTTTTCCTGATACTTTACATCTAAAGAATTCAATTTTAAAATATCGTGGAGGAAATATTATTTATTCAAATCCTCTGAAGATGTTGTAGATGTGTAACGGATGTTGTTTTTTTCATCTGTAATGTTCTGCACATAGCCTTGTGTTGCACTTGAAATAATCAATCTACATCTGTTTTAACATTGAGAAGTAAAAATAAACATACACCTAAGGCTCATAATTCTGCAAATGCCTATTCCACCCCAATGTCAATAGAATTATATACACCCATAAATTTATTCATAATCCTTGACAAGGAAAGACTGACCTTGAAATGAAGGTTTTTTTTAAAGTAAGT